TTCATGGCGCGATTTGCATTTCCGGCATTGTTTGATGTGATTTGAGACCTCGAGCGAGTCTGTGTTAAGTTATAGAACTTGTTTTTGTGTTTAGACGGGGTACCGGGGGCCTTGGGTGTGTTTCGAACTAGTTTTGGATTTTTTCCATGGTTTTGAACATGTCTGATTCTGGTGTTTTCGCACCTGCGACTTTGGAGCGTAGGTGCGGCTTCGCTTCTGCGTGATCCTGATCGCATCTTCGATCTTTGAGGCCTGGAAGCTAGATCGCTTCTGCGAATGCTGGAATGCAGGTGCGCAACCACTTTTGCGGTTGATCTATCGCATTTGCGAAGGAGCCCGCTTTTGCGCTCCTGTTATCGCTTCTGCGACGCTGCTAATGCATCTATATTGTGTGCTGATACGGACCTAGGCCTGTAAGTCAAGTTCGCAAATGCGAATTTCTGCCCGCAAATGCGATAGAGCAGATGCGCTTATGTGTCCGCAGATGCGGAAGTGCTGGGCAGAATTATTTAAATCGAGGGTTTGGCCATTTTCTTCATATTTTGAGTTTTAGACTTCGATTTTGGGAGCTTCTTTTTGGATTATTCAAGAAAATCGATTGGTAAGTGTTCTTCACCTAGTATCTAATATATTCCATGATTTTATCTTCATTTTTATCATTTAATTTGTGTTTTGAGTTGAGGAAAATGTTGGTTCTTGAAGAAAGTTTTCAAAATGAAAAATCATGATTTGAGAGACGAAATGGTATCACAATTTGATAATTTTTGTTTGGATGAACTCGTATCGGAATGGGTATTCGGTTTTTGTGAAATTTGTCAGATTCCGAGGTGCGGGCCCAGGGTTCGACTTTTGGACCGATTTTTGGATTTTGTTAAAGATTGAGACTTTATGATCCGGAATAGTTTCTTATGAGTTTCAATTGTGCTTTGAAGTTATTTTGGTTGGATTTGAGCCGTCCGGAGGTCTTTTCACCCGAGAAGTGCATTTTAGAGTATTAGTCTGTCTTCTTTGAGGTAAGTATCTTGTCTAACCTTATGTGGGGGATTTCCCCTTAGGATTTGAGTCTTCTATGTTGATTGTAGTTCGTGTACGCGAGGTGACGAGTGCGTGCTCGGACTTATTTGTGGAAAGTTTGCCTTTAGGGTTCTTAAGTCCTTATATTCACTGTGTATGAAGTTGTTCGTGATAAGTTTGAGTTCCTATTTGCTAGTTTCACTTCTACATGCTTTAATTAGAACTAATTGCTTTAGAATTCACTCTTATTGTCTGTTTGACTCTTATTTGACTTAACTAAAGATTTTGCCTCTTCTATCGTCATGCTATCTTTTCATAACTGCGTATGTTTAATTGAAATTATTATTTTCTCATCCTATAATTTTTTAGTCTTAATTGGAGTTATGATTATCTTCTGCTGCTTACCATTATTTGAATTGTTGAATATCCTTCGCAATTGCTCAACCTTAAAAGGAGTTTAGAAACCTATATCTTAGTTGACTTGCCTATATTTGGAACTATTTGACTCGAGTTGGCTTCCTTATTGTTGACTTGTATATTGTGGGATCGTTGCTACATATTAGTTCTCCCTTATTAAACTATTCCCTTTATGCCAAGCATTCTTTACTGTGGTTATTCCTTGTGAACTGGTTCTACCGTTTCTTTTTGATTTAAAGTTCTTGAGTTGTTTTACTCGCTGTACTTTGTATTATTGTCATTTTTGCTGTTGTACTTGTTGTGTTGATGTACGAGGTTTCTGCCATACTGTAACTTTTTTCTCTGTTGGTTGCGCTGCATATTTACTTTGGGACTACAGAACGGTATTCCGGGAGATCCCCCTGTCCTGCATATTTACCTTGGGACTACGGAATGGTATTCCGGGAGATCCCCCTTCATATTTACTTTGGGACTACGGAACAGTATTCCGGGAGATCCCCCTACATATTTACTTTGGGACTACGGAACGGTACTCCAGGAGATCCCCCTGTCCTGCATATTTACTTTGGGACTACGGAACGGTATTCTGGGAGATCCCCATATTCTGCATATTTACTTTGGGACTATGGAATGGTATTTCGGGAGATCCCCCTGTTCTGCATATTTACTTTGGGACCGGTATTCCGGGAGATCCCCCTGCACATTTACGTTTGGGACTATGAGACAATATCTCGGGAGATCCCCTGTTGTTATCACTATGTTATGAGCTATTTTCTTTCATTTACTCTATCTCTGTTATTATACGTGTTGTCCGTTCTTTTCCTTGTGCTTACTAGCTGGTATGGACTATGTTAGGACACCTACACAAGCATACACGTAGCTAAGCCCCCTTATCGGATAAGATGTTTTCTTGATATTGTTGAGTATAGATGTACACCCTTGTTTACTTGCCTTCTATGTGAGAGTGACTCTAGTTGGAATGGGAGATGTCAGCATGAGTATGAGGTGTGATGAGGGCATAGAATGCCAAGTGTTGGGGTTCGGGTATTGAGACCCGTGAGTTGTAATTTATCCAAGGTTCGGTACTTCGTAAAGGTTGTTTACTAAGAATCAAATGTGAAAGCTGTCGTAGTTGCTGAGTTATTATTTGTCTTTATTGTAGCTGTGGTTTTGGAATTAGGTTGTGTTTCTTTCACTTTTATGTGTCATTATTATGGTATTCCGTTGATACTTGTCGTTTTCCCTTTCTTACTGTAATTACTGTATTGTTAGTCATATTGCGTAGCTTCTATGTAGAAACCATGCACTGTTGTTCCCATACTTATACTTGTTCTGTTTATTACACCAGTGAGTGTCTTGACTGTTCCTCGTTACTACTCCACCGAGGTTAGTCTTGATACTTACTGGGCACTGCTGTGGTGTGCTCATACTACACTTCTGTACATTTTTTTTGTACAGATCCAGGTATTGATCGTTAGTAGTTGTGGGGATTCTTGCCAAAGAGACTCAAGGTAACCCTGTTGCTGCGTTCGCAGGCGTCGGAGTCACCTTCCTATTTTGTATTCACACTGTTTTACTTATTTCCAAATAGTTGTATTTAGAAGTTGTAGCGAACTCTGTAGAGCTTATGACTTGTACCGCCGGTTTTGGGAATTGTAAATTTTGTGGAGATTTCCCTTTCAAATTGTTAGATGTTCTTCTATTATTGTTGTTATTCTGAAAATGTTAGGCTTACCTAGTCCTAAGACTAGGTTCCATCACGATACCCAAACGGAGGGAAAGTTGGGTCGTGACAAGTTGGTATCAGAGCTCTAGGTTTATAGGTGCTACGAGTCATAAGTGAGTTTAGTAGAGTCTTGCGGATCGGTACGGAGACGTCTGTACTTATCTTCGAGAGGCTACAGAACTATTAGGACAATCTCACCTATTTCATTCCTATCGTGCGAGTTCATTGATCTTGATGTTTGAACTTTTATCGTTCTATCCTCTCACTGATGGTGAGAACACGAGCTGCAGTTACCAATAACGCTGCTCCCGGAGCAGGTGCCGCTAGAGGTAGAGGCAGAGGCAGAGGCTGACGAGGAGTATGTGCCGCAGCTAGAGCACCTACCACAACAGTAGTTGAGGAGCCGCCAGTAGCTCCAGGTGGGGGGGGGGGGCAGGTACCGGAGGCACCTGCTGTTACCCCCGGATATAAGGAACTTTAGCACAGTTCCTGAGCATGTTTGGTACATTGGCTCAGGTGGGGGTTAATTCTGTTGCACCAGCTATTTCACAGACCAGGAGAGGGACTCAGACTCCCGCCACCCACACTCTAGAGCAGCGAATTCACGTTGGTTAGGTTCCAGGTGTCATGGCGACACAGCCTGTGGTTCCAATTCAGCCCATGGTCAGGGCAGCAGCATCTGAGGGAAGGGCATCTTAGATTTGCAAGGTTCAAGGAGTATGACCCTCCTACATTCAGTGGTATAGCTTTAGAGAGCGCACAGGGTTTTATAGAGGAGTGCCATCGCATTCTCCGTTATGGGTATTATTGAGACGAGTGGGGTTGCTTTTACGACGTTCCAGCTTAAGGGAGCGGCTTATCAGTGGTGGCGGGCATATGAGTTGGGTTGCCCGACCGATGCAGCTTCACTTACATGGGTTCAGTTTGTAAAGATGTTTTTGAGAGAGCTTGTACCTTAGTCCCTTCGGGATGCATGGTGCGCGGAGTTTGAGCATCTGCGCCAGGGCACTATGTCAGTATTAGAGTATGCCGTTAGATTCAGTGATTTGGCCAGACATGCACTTGCCTTTGTTGCTACAGTTAGAGAGCGAGTCTTTAGATTCATCGGGGTCTTAGGCATGATATTCGGTTCAGCGCGGCTCGAAAGTTGGAGTCAGATGTTTCATTTCAGTAGGTGATAGGGATCGCTCGCCGATTAGAGGGCATGTGGGGCCGGGAGCGAGAGAACAGACGAGATCAGGAGAGAGAGCACTGGGAGGCGAGGAGGCCTTGTAGACCAGAGAGATCTGCTGGTCCTTATTTTGGAGGCAGGGTGCCACATGGTAGAGGTTTTGTGGGTCAGCCAGTTCATTTCGCACTTCAGGGTTCGCACAGTATTTTGGGTGCTCATGGGTCTCGGAGTACCTGTACCGCATAGTTCCCACAGCCACATCAGCAGCGAGGTTGCTTTGAGTGTGGAGATACCAGCCACATGGTGAGAGATTGTCCCAGGCTTTGGGCAGATGTGTCACAGCGAGGTATTCAGGCGAGTAGGGGTCGCCCAAGAGGGGGAAGCCCGACCCCTTGATGTGTTTCATATAGTAGGCTTGAGGCCGCTGCGCCAGATGATGTCATTCAGGTATGTTTTCAGTTTGATATAGAGGAGCACCATCCGTATTTCATTATAGTTCTGCTTATCGGGGCGAGTTCCCCTATTTGTTGCTCCACTTATCAGTGCGTTTCATGATTTGCACTTAGTAGAGGATAAAGAAACTGATGTTTGCTTCTTTGATTTCCGTGAAACAGGTGAACCCCCAAAACTGATATAAAAACCACTGATGGATCGACGAGACTCGGGGCAGGTTCACCAATCAGAATCACAAAAGGCGACAAGGCAGAGATATTGATCAGAATTCATAAAAAGGCCCAAACTTGGTTCATCTAGGAGACATCTTTGACAATGAAAAACGACATCAAGGTGCGACTGGCGAGGAGCTTGCATGTATTGACTTAGATGTTGAACCGCAAAAGACAAGTCTGGGCGAGTGTGAGTCAGGAAATTCAACTTTCCCAAGAGGCAGCGATAAAAAGTGGGATCTTCATCGGCTCGTAATTTTCTAGTAGGATCAAGTGGTGGTGGGGCTGGTTTTAACTCAAAATAGGCAAATTCATCTAGTAAGTCCAAAGTATAACGTTTTTGTGTTAAGATTAAACCATGTTGTTCACGTATGATTTCCATACCCAAAAAATAGTGTGCCTGCCCGAGGTCCTTGATCTTAAACTCAGTATTAAGAAACTCTTTAAGGTGAATATGCTCAATAGGATCATCCCATGTAATTAAGATATCGTCTACATAGACAGCTAGTATAGTGATCTTCCCTTCTAATTTTTTGAAGAACAATGAATAGTCATTGAGGGAGTGAGAATATCCTTTGAAATTCAAGGCTGCTGTGATCTGGGCATATCATTGCCGTGAGGCTTGCCGCAGTCCATAAAGGGATATCTTTAGGAGACACACATAGTTGGGAGAATGTGGTGTCAGTCCAGGTGGGAATTTCATAAACACTTCTTCCTGCAATTCACCATGTAAGAAAGCATTATTCACGTCTAACTGAAAAACATCCCAGCCTTTTTTGACTACCACATCAAGGATGCACCTAATGGTTGTCATCTTTACTACTAGGGAAAAAGTCTCCGTGAAGTCAATCCCTTCCCTTTCTATGTCCCCTCAAATGACCAATCCAGCTTTAAATCTTTCTAATGATCCATCTGATTTGTATTTGACCTTGTAAACCCATTTACATGGTAATGCTCTCTTCCCTGTAGGCAAAGGTACCACAGCCCAGGTCTTGTTTAACTCAAGGGCCTCAAATTCCTTAGCCATTGACTCTTGCCAACCAGGGTGAAGGGCTGCTTGAGAATAGGATGTAGGTTCAATGATATAAGATATGGAGTTAAGCATAGACTGGTTTGTGAGAGAGAGCGCAGAGAAGGGAAAAATAGTTGATAAAATTGGAGCAGAAAAATAGGATGCAGTCAAGTTAGTAAGAAAGACAAAATTGCAAACATAATCTTGTAGATAGGCAGAATTTTTGTGTGTTCGGGTAGATTTCCTAATTTCTTGAATACTAGTGACAATTGGCTGAGAGTGTGAGGATTGATTGGGTGAATGCATAGGAGAGATATCAGCATTGGTAGGAAAAATTGGTGAATTATCTGTAGGAGAACAAGGCTGAAAATGCTATGAGACTGGACTGTTAGGTGTACTGACTGTAGGATAAGAAGACTGAGGTGTAGGTGAATGTGCTACCACAGGACAATCTGAAGGTTGTGGAGATTCCCTAGGGAAGACAATTTGTTTGTTTGTGTTAGGAGGAAAAGGGAAAATAGATTCATGAAATTTGACATCCCTAGATACAAAAATCTTCATAGTTAGGAGATCTAACAGTTTATACCCTTTTTTCCTATAGGATATCCCAAGAAAACACAAGGGACAACCCTTGGGTCAAGTTTGGTTCTGTGTGGTGATATAGTGCTAGCATAGACTAAACAACCAAAAACTTTAATGAATGATAACAGGGAGGCATACAAAACAAAATTTCATAAGGAGTTTTAAACTTAAGAACCTTGGAAGGAAATCTATTTATGAGATATGTGGCTGTGAGTAAACATTCTCCCCAGTAAGAAATAGGGAGTTTGGACTGAAACAATAGGGCACTGCAAGTTTCTAGAAGGTGCTTATGTTTCCTCTCAACAATACCATTTTGTTGAGGAGAGTAAACACATCTAGTTTGATGTATTATCTCCTTAGAAGCAAGAAGAAATGAGGACTCCATACTCCCTCGAAGCTCTAAGGCATTGCCTGATCTTATCACCTTAACTTTCCTGTCAAATTGCCTTTCAACCATAGCCAAAAATTGCTTTAGGACAGTGAATGCATTGGATTTTGTACTAAATAAATAGGTCCAAGTCCCTCTACTATAATCATCAACAATGGTCTAAAATTATCTATAACCATCATGAGTAGACTCTTTATAGGGTCCCCAAGTGTCTATGTGAATTAGCTCAAAGATATCTTTTGGGGAGATTGAACTGGATGGGAAAGGTAATTTAACTTGCCTTGCTCTTGCACAAATGTCACAATGATCAAGTAAAGTAGATGAAGATGAAGAGATAGTAGAAATATTTTTCATATTACTAAGGGGTAAATAACCCAAACGATTGTGCCAAAGAGTTACATCACTTGAGATATGTCCTGAACAAGAAACTGAAAATAAACATTGATTACTAGTCCTACTACAACTTGAACTAGATGGACAGAAGTCCTTGATTCTATATAAAGACTGACTGCTAGACCTATTATAACTTGAAAGAAATGGACTAGAGTCCCGATTCTGCTTAATAGACTGGCACTATGCTTGATAGAGTGAAGTAGATATATCCCCTTCCTTAGTTTACCAAGAACTACTGGCCTCTATATTGAAGGGGCCTGCAAAATTGCACCAAAAGCAGAGAAAATAAGGAGAGAATCAGCTTGCTGACAGAATCTATGAACTGACAATAGGTGATACCTGAAACTAGGAAGAAATAACACATTTTTCATAATAAAATTTGACATGATGTACACACTTCCAGCCTGAGTGACTCGGGCTCTTTGTGAATTAGGAAGGTTAACATAAACAGGTTTAGTGAGTGTTTTCACATTGAATAAAAGACTGAAATCACATGACACGTGTTCAGAGGCACCAAAATCTAAGATCCACATAACAGAATTTGAAGTATTATAGAAAGAATGTTTAGGTATACCGGCACAGTTGGCAGTGACATTGACCTAAGAATTCATATCTCCCTGAGATCCAGACTTAACCTGTTGTAGAAGTTCACACAAGTTGTTGTACTCTTCTTGAGTGACGGCCCTTTCTGTAGCATTAAAGGTCTGATTTCCACCATCTTCAGTTGTGACAGCTGCATTAGCATGTGTACCAGCACTTTGAAACCTCTTGTTTTTGGTAAATTTGAAATCAGCCGAAAAACCAATGATCCTATAACATTTTTCAGCAGTGTATCCTGGCTTCTTACAATAGGAGCATGTAAGATTGTTCTTCTTTCCTTCATAGTTTCCCTTTTTCTCAGAACTTCCAAGCTTTTGACCTCCATATTGTTGTCTTGCAACCATGAAAGCAGATTCAACAGGGTGCTGAGCTACATGTATCTCCCTTTGTTTTTCATCTTGAATTAATAGGGAGTAAGCATGATTGATGATGCGCAGAGGTGAAGCCATCAGAATATTGATTTTTACACCAGAGTAGGCCTCATTCAGCCCCATGAGGAATTGGATGAGCCTGCCATCTTGATGAGATTTCAGAGATCTACTCTTCCCTCCACAAGAGCAATCACAACTACAGTGAACACATGTATCTAGGCTGTCAAGCTCATCCCAGATTCTTTTCACTTTTGTATAATAACCAGCTATGTCTGAACTTCCTTGAACTGTGTCACTGAGCTCCTTTAGCAGCTGATAAAGCAAAGCTCCATTGCTTTGCCCAAATCTGTCCTCAAGCTCCTTCCAAATCCCTCTTGCTGTTTTGGAGTAGAGAACACTTTCAGCAATTTCCTTGGAAAGTGAATTGAAAAGCCATGACATCACCATGTCATTACAACGGCTCCAAGGTTTGAAGGAAGCTGCAGATGCCGCACGGACTGATATGGTTCCATCTGTGAATCCCAATTTGTTCTTAGCTGATAGAGCTATGAGAACAGCCCTGCGCCATCCTCCATAGCTCCTTCTATCAAAAATAGAATTGACAAGAATCATCCCCGGGGAATCAGAGGGATGAAGGTAAAACGGGTGTGAAGAGTCATGAGTGAGAGTGATCTAATGTGGGGTTTGAACACTGGATGCAGTGTCGTCCACTACTCCAGGTGAAATAATTTGATCATCAATAGCCATTAAAGAGGTTCAACTTAAGCTTAAGAGGAGAAGAAGAGGAAGAAGAAAGAGGAAAGAGGGAGGAGAATTGGATCGAGTGCCTTACTGCTCTGATACCATATTGGAATAAGAACAGAAAAATGTAAAAAATTTTCTTCTCTGTATATCTCATTGAAAGACCGTACATCAATATATACAAAGCAAAAGGAATAAAATTTTATTCACACTTGCAGGTGTCCTACCTCTATTGCTTAGCTCATAACTAACTAAAAGAATACAAAGAATTTTACAAATAAATTATTTCTATACAAAGAATATCACTGATTTTATCTGAATAAGGAAGCTTCTAGATATAGCTGACTGTGCTTGGTCATGTGTTCAGCATGTGCAAAGAATCAATGGACCAGATTAAATCATTGTAATATCACTTGATGAATGGCCCCGATTAACTTGACCACTAGAGATAAAATGGTCTGATCTCCTTTGTTTGTATCGACATTTTGTTTCAAAATCCTCATTCTTCACTTCATCTGTAGGCTTCGTGAAACTGGTTCCAACAAAAACGTATAGTTTTGGAATCAAATCCAACAAAATAAGTACATTCTATATCAGGGTTCTAGTAAAACCGATTGCATTGGAGTGCAAAAAATAACTGGAAGAACGTATATTACGCAGCATACATTGTAAATGAATAAAAAAATGGGGGAAAAACAAACTAAAGAAGCAAAGGAGAGATCTTACACTGAGGAAACACTACTTCCGACTTAGATTTTAGGGTAAAATTAGAGAGTATGAAACAAATATGCGTACAACTTCAATTGTTTCCCTTTTTCTTTTTGGTTTTTATTTCTTCTGTTGTGCCATGTTTTTACTTTTTAGTTGCCACCAATCATGTTTTTTGGTTGGTCTTATTTTGAGGGAAAAATTAAAAGATAATTCAAAGTTTAAAGGTGAAATGGCCTACTTAAACTTCTTTCATTTGCAAAGCCGATTCACCAACTTATATCGTTCCCATGCACATGTGGCAGTGGCAGAGGTGATGTGGACAAAGTGTGTGTAAGTCACGTAAACTACGCGCGTGATTACAATAATTTTGATTTTAAAAAAATCTAAAATCAGAAGGAAAAAAAATTACAAATGAAAAAGAAAGAAAATAAG